TTACATTGTAGTGCAATAATTAAATTAATCATTAATGGGGAAAAAAAAAAAGCTGAAAGACTATGATTACATAGGAACTTAGCAGAATTTTGTGAATGAGTAAGAATTTTACTGTGTACTTTCCGGTAGCCAGAGAAAGAAGTAGACAAAATTTTCATAGTTGTGATTAGCAGAAAGGAGGAAGTATATAGTTATTACTCAGGAGTGACAAAGAAACTTCTGCTGTAATTCCTTATAGGGTACATTGCGTGTCATGATAGCAGCATCCTTGACAACAGCTTCACAACAAATATTCAAGTAGTTTCAATATTACTGTTCCTCATAGTTGAAGGCGAGCATTAAAACCGAACCCAGTGAAGTGAACATCTTCAAAGATGTTATTTGATTCAAGCTGATTTTTTTTTTTTTTTTTAACAAATTCACTTTTTTCTTCTTTTTGTTTTTACCATTTTCCTTCTTGCTTTTCTTTAGCGTTTTCTTTAAGGTCACAATGTAGATCAGTAAGTTCTGCTTTTAACGTACATCATCATTTTGCTTTTTCTCCATTTAACTGTTCACTAATAACCTTAGAACTTCTTTTTAGTTGACTAGAAGCCTTTGAAGACATGTGATCTGCCCAGTCTTGTTTTGGCATCCATATTCCCCAAAGTGAAACCATGTTGTTTGAGGAGAGAGCAACAGACTGCGCAGTTACCTTGGAGAAAGTGCAAGACACCTCCAAGTATGTGTTGATATTATTGGTCATGGGTAAGGAGCACTTTCCTTCATGGATAAGCAGCACTTTCCTCCTATGACAATGCAGCTTCAAAAGTAATAATAGGCTTCTATGAATCTTAGAATATTATGGTGGAAGCTATGGGAATGGATGCAAAACAAAGAACTGCTCTGCTTTGCTTTGTTCAATAAAATAAGTCAACAGGCCAAGAGTGTGAATGTCCCACTTGCCAGTTCCTTCAGTTTAGAGTTTTCTGCAGGAGGCATACCTTAAAATGTTACGACTGTCTGATCTCAGAAGTAATGGTGAGCTGAATGGAGAAGGCTATTTTTACCAGGGAAAATCTGTGCAAACTTGAATTTTAGTTGTCTTTTTCATCTTCCTTTTGGCAGGAAATATTAATGATTGAGGACACACTGCCACTCATTTCTGGGAAGCACTAAATATGGGGTTTATAGCTGTGTTCAGATAGACTCAGTTTCAAGTTATATATGAAGATACTGAGCATAAGTATTTAGATAAAACAAGGTTATACTTTTTTTGTAATTTACTCCATCATCTGCAGAATTATGAATTTTTTAATGGTGGATTGAAAAATTTATTAAACGCTTGCTTTGCAAAAGGCATTATAACAAGTTATTAGTGTAGAGTAGAGAGATACATTATAAATAAAATAAATGGTGATGGCCTACTCTGAACTTTCAGTTTAGTTGAGAAGTAAGAATATAAAATTAAATTAGTTAAATTCTTTTAAAGTAGAAAAATTTTAAGAGACAGAGTGATCCATCATGGGAAAAGTTGAATATGGGGGTGGACAGAAAGCATGGAGCCCCCACAGAGAAAAGAGTGTGATGAAGTTAGAGAAGGGTTTATAGGATAGTATGTTTTGAACCAGGTATTAAATGAGACTATCAACATGGGTTGTTAGAAATGACTGAACCAGCAAGTGGGAAGTTTAGCCTCATGCTTTTAAAGGTTTTTTTTTTTTGTTGTTGTTGTTCATTTTGTTTTTGGGGAGAGGAATTTCTTGAGAATGGAGAACTTGTAAAAATTTTCATTAAAGGAAAAAAAATACATTTAAAGAATATGTTAAAAAGTTCATTTATTTAAAAAATTTGAAACACAACATCATATCATGACAAAATAAGTTTTGACTATTTTTTGATGTGTGTTATAATAGTGCTTGCTATGTGTGTGCACGTGCATGTGTACATGCATGTGTGTATGCGTACATGGCTCCAATAAGTTTCCTTGATCTGCAGATAATACTCTTTTTATAATCAATCTCCTTTCATCTATCATTCTTGGTAGTGTGAAGACTGTTCATATTTCATTTAAGGCATTATACTTTAGTTTACTATTTCAAGACTTTTCCATTTAGAAAGGCAATTTTCTTTATTTCTAATGAATAACTAAAATTCTGAAAAGAGTAAGTGGATCTCTCTTCTGATCTTTTATACTGAAACCTTTAAAAAGAAATTTTGGGTATACTTTGAATTGTTTGGTGCAATATTATTTTATTTGTCTCTTAAGAATCTTGTGGTTTTATTTATCTTTTAAAGGGATCTTTGGAACTATAGAACAGCAGTGAACATTGGGTGTTCTTTTACTCACACATGCATCCCCAAAGCCACTGCTGTTGAGTTGATTCTGACTCATGGTGACCAAATAGGACAGAGTAGAACTTCCCCCATACAGTTTCCATGGCTGTAAATATTTACAGAAGCAGACTGCCCCATCTTTCTCCCATGAAATGGCTGGTAGCTTTGAACTTTTGGTTAGCAGCTGAATGCTTTTAACCACTGTGTCACCAGAACTGCTCATATATTTAAAGCAGCTCTTAATAATGTATTCCTATTCCATTTAAACATATTTCATTGGGAGAATGGATTAGTCAAGATGAAAAAGATACTATGCTTTTCTTCTTTTTTTTTTTAACTATGCATCCATCCATCCATCCATCCATTCATCCACAAATACATCCATTCATCAAATATATATTAAATGCCTACTATATTCAAGAGAATGTGCTCGTGTCTGGATGAGTAGGGAGGTGCCATGTAAGTGAATAAATCATGAGACTTATGACCTCAGTGGATATAAGTAGAAATTGTTAATTTCCATAAGTAATGATTAAGTAACATGTGTTAGCAATTTGTAGATCACAGAGAAAATTTCTTAATTTCAATAAAATGGTGCGAGCGTTTCATAAACACTCTTTGAGAAAGTGCTACTGAAGCTGAGCTACTCAATCCTTGTGTTTTTGTGGACGAGGGATAAAACGTTTTTCTCCTTAGCATTTAGTAAGACGAATATGACTGAAGATACCTGCTTTTGGCTAAAATTTCCTAGAAATGTTTAGATTTTCAAAGACTTATGTCATTGTTAGCACTTTTAATTTTTATCATTAAAATTTGTTATTAGGTGTTGTTGGTTCTGACGCATAGCAGCCCTGTGTCCAACAGATGAAACGCTGTCCAGCCCTGTGCCAGCCTCACAGTCTTTGCTCTGCTTCAGTCTATCCTTGCAGCCACTGTGTCAGTCCATCACCTTGAGGCTCTTCCCTTTTTCACATATCCTCCACTTTACTAAGCATGACATCCTTCTCCAGGGACTGGTCCCATCTGACAACATGACCAAAGTATGAGAGATGAAATCTGGCCATTCTCCCTTCTAAGGAGCATTCTGGCTGTACATCTTCCAAGATAGAGTTGTTTGTTCCTCTGACAGTAGTACGTGGTATATTAAATATTCTTCATCAACACAATTCAAAAGTATCATTTTCCTCTGTCTTCCTTATTCACTGTCAGCTTTCATATGCATGTAAGACAACTGAAAATATTATTGCTTGGGTCAGGTGCACCTTAGTCCTCAAAGTGACATCTTTGCTTTTTAATGCTTTAAAGAAGTTTTTTTTTTTTTTTTTTCCCAGCAGATTTGCCAACTGCAATATGATACCTGATTTCTCGACTGCTGCTTCCATGGGCATTGATTGTGTATTGCAATAAAATGAAATCTTTGACACCTTCCATCTTTTCTCCATTTATCATGATGTTGCTTATTGGTCCAGTTGTGAGGATTTTCATTTTCTTTATTGTGAAGTTAATCCATACTGAAGGCTATAGTCTTCATCAGTAAGTGCTTCAAGTCATCTTCACTTTCAGCAAGCAAAGTTGTGTCATCTGCATATCACAGGTTGCTAATGAGTCTTCCCCAATCCTGTTCTTCACATAGTACAGCTTTTCAGATTATTTGGTAAGCGTACAGATTGAATAAGTATGGTGAATGGATACAGCCCTGACACACAACTCTCTTGATTTAACCATTCTGTTTAAATGACTGACTCTTCATCTATGTATAGGTTCCTCATGAGTACATTTAAGTGTTCTGGAATTCTTAGTCTTCCTAATGTTATCCGTAATTTGTTATGATCAATACAGAATGCCTTGACATAGTCAATAAAATACAAGTAAACATCTTTCTGGTAGTCTTTGTTTCCAGTCATGATCTGTCTGACTTCAGCAATGATATCCCTTATGCTAAATCATCTTCTGAATCTGGCTTGTATTTATGGCTGTTCCCTGTCAATGTACTCCTACTTCCTTTTTTGAATTATTTTGAGCAAAATTTTACTTGCTTGTGATATTAATGATATTGTTAGATAATTTATGCATTCTGTTGGATCACCTTTCTTTGGAATGGGCATATATATGTTATCTCTTCTATTTAGTTGGCCAGATAACTGTCTTTCAAATTTCTTAGCATAAATGAGTGAGGGTGTCCAGCATTGCATCAGTTTGTTGAAACATGTCAATGGATATTCCATGATTTTCTGGAGCCTTGTTTTTTGCCAATGCTTGCAGTGCTGTTTGAACTTCTTCCTTCAGTACCATGTGTTCTTGATCATATACTACCTCTTGAAATGGTTGAACGTCAACCAATTCTCTGGTACACTGACTCTGAGTATTCCTTCCATCTTCTTTTGAAGTTTCTTGTGTCATTCAATATTTTGCCCATAGATTCTTTCTGTTTTGCACTTGAAAATTGATGTTTTTCCTCAGTTCTTTCAGCCGAGAAATATCAAGCATGTTTTTCCCTTTAATTAAAATATGGAAATTACTGAATGCCAATAAAAATAGCTCTAAGGTGTAAGGATCCTTTCAAGCTCATATCCTTTCCTGTACTTCTTTTTGAAAAAATTTATTTGTGATGCTGCCATGTTTTTTTTGAGAAGTTTATTGTTATCTTTGCTTATTGACTTTTTTTTAAAATACATTATTTTCAGAGGCAAAATTGTCCAAGGCTTGAAGGATTTAAAACACGTTAGTCCAGTTGGAGAGACATATATCCATGAAGGACTAAAGCTAGTAAGTTCTTTTACGTTTATGAATGTAGGAGAGAATGCACTAGAACTCTAAGGAAGCTCAAAAGTATGTTACAGGTGTGCATGCGTGTGTGCACACACTTGCACATTTAATTATTCTAGGGATAAGACTAATAGAACACATTAGTTATGATGATAAGAAAAGTTTGGATTTTGCCTTTTAAGGAGTTTTCCGTTTTCTCAATGGTTACATTCAAAATAGTCAACCCCAGATAAAAATCTATATCCCTTAAACTCAGTAGTAACTACCTTTCTGTGACTATATGAGTATTTCAAATAAAAAAATAGTTAACACAAAGACTCTATTTTAAAAGCCAATTAGTAATACTATGTTTTTGTAAAATTTATGAATTTGACTTGATAGAACATGCTGGTTGAAAGTTAAAATTAAATTATGAGTTGCATAATTGTTCTTCATTTTCAGGCAAATGAACAAATTCAGAAAGCAGGAGGCTTAAAAACCTCTAGTATCATAATTGCTCTGACAGATGGTAAGTTGGACGGTCTGGTGCCATCATATGCAGAGAAAGAGGTGAGTATTGAACTGAAACTGTTCTTTACACCCTGCTGTACTTTTCTGTCTCTCTGCATGTATAGCCTGATATTTGAATAATTCACCCCTCTTTCTCTATCTCTCCTCTGATATAGGCAAAGATATCCAGGTCACTTGGGGCTAGAGTTTACTGTGTTGGTGTCCTTGATTTTGAACAAGCTCAGGTGAGTATAACAGATCTATGAATTTTAATCTAAATTAAATCATTTTCTTAAGGGTGATTTATCAAATTATTTTCACAGATAACTTATTGTGACATTAATCAATTATTAAATATTTTCTACAAAAAATATTCACTTCTAGGCTGTATGTCTTGAACTCAACATTAGGAATTTATGAAATATAGATTTCATTATTGAAAATGAAAATCTAAATTTGTCAAATACTTCGTTTGAGGAACTAATGTAAGATAAAAATTTATATTGAAGTGATGTGATTACTGCTTCTCTTCTTTAACTCAATTGACAGGATTATGATGACAGTGTTATTTAGGGTTTTTAGTTTGATTTAAAACTTGACTCAGTTGTGCAGGGACTTGGAAAGTCCATTAAAAGAAGTCTTTTAATTTTTTTCTTAGGTGTTCTTAAAAGAAAATATATTTTTGATAAAGTATTGAGAGATTAAAAAAAAATAATAAAAATAAACCAAACTCACTGACGTTGAGTCGGTCCCAACTCATAGCGACCCCCAGTGGGGTTCCAAGTGGTAAATCTTTATGGGATTGCCCCATCTTCCTTCCATGGAGTGGCTGGTGGGTTTGAACCACCAACATTCTGATTAGCAGTCAAATGCCTTAGGCACTATGCCACCAGATCTGCTTATTGAGAGATTATATATTTTTTAAAAATTACCTTTTCTACTCGCAAAATGGTTTTGCATTTAAGTTTTTGGTTGAGCATGGCTAAAACTCCCATGACTCCTGCAATTTACAAATCTTAAATCTCTGCACTATTTTGGCATTGCAGCTTCAGGCCAGTATAAAGTTGCTATCACTGATCCGCGTTCATCTGGTGGTGGCATGGTTAAAGTAGCAGTACTACCATTATTCCCAATTCCTGATCTCTCTCTCATGGTCCACACTGGTAGATTAATTACTGTGCTGTAATTTTTCAGGTAAACATAAGAAAAAACTTAATGTAATTTTTAAAGTATTATATGTCTTATTCAAAGAGCCTTTGTGGTTAATCTCTCAATCACTTAATTGCTGCTGGATGAAAGGTTGGCTGTTCAAACCCCCAGCCGTTTTGCTGGAGAAATGTGGCAGTCTGCATCCATAAAGATTACAGCGTTGGAACCCTATGGGACAGTTCTACTCCATTCTGTAGGGTCACTATGAGTTGGAACCAACTGAATGGCAGAAAGTTTGTTTTTTGATCATGTCTTAACCCCCCATTAACTCGGTTTACTCTTTTTCCTAAAGCTCGAAAAAATTGCTGATTCCAAGGAACAGGTTTTCCCTGTCAAAGGTGGTTTTCAAGCTCTCAAAGGAATAATTAATTCTGTGAGTAATTCTCTGGGAGCAGGAGAAGCTCTTAATTTTAGATGTATTTTTAAATTATAAGATGTAATTTTGATTCCAGTGCAGGTCATCGTTTATCTTGAGTAAAGGAGTTAGGAAAGAGTTTTGTTTGGTATTTCACATATAGTGTACTTCTAAAGATCTGGCTTTTGTTTGCCAGTGAGATTTGGTATTAATTCTTGCAGACTGTGTTCAGTGGGCCTGGGTTTGTGATTTCAAGTTTTAAGATTTTCATAAACAATCTCAGGCACATCTTCCCTTTGGGCATACAGTTCCTAACTGTCTTGATATCTTGAAAGTTTTATAGGCTTATAGAAGAAAAGTAAAATAAAAATGTGGATTGAAATGTGTGATTACTCACTCTTCCAAATATGGTATTTCTTAGCTATCAGTCAGGCAACTTGAACCAGTGACTGTATGTTACTGCTGTTGTTGTTCTCTCCATTTTAATGATTAATAGTTTCACTGGAGCTCATAATATTTCTGTTTGGAATTCAGTTGAGGTGCCTCTGGTGATCATTAGAATCTGGGCTATCCTAAACAGGGTATGGGGAAAAGGAGTGATGAAATGCAAAGCAAAACTCATGGGTTTCACAGCTGAGGTTTATGTTTCGTTTTATTGCCTTTTGCTGGAAACTCTAGGAACAGTTGCTATTAAGTATTTATGATATTTTGGTAAACACCATCCTAAAATTGAAGTGAGTAATATATATTCACTAAGCCAAAGCTTTTCCTTTAATCTTTAGGTATTCATTGTAGGGGGAAAAAGAAATCTTAATTTCTTCTGATATTTGGTTCTGGCATTTCATAATTTTCTTTAAATAACATGCTTTTCAGAATGAGATTCATTGAATTTGTTTTTGGTAATATGTAGGTTTTTTTTTTTTAATTAATGGCACTTTTAAGAGAAAATATATAATTTACTTCTATCAAATATCATTACTTCTAGGGGACACACTTTGCAATGTTGAAAGGAACAGAGATTCAATTATTTCAGGAGTTTACGTATATTATTGTACTTATTTTTAGGGGAAAATTGCAATGTTAAAATAGTAAAAATTTTTATAGCTGAATTCAGGATAAATGCATGATAATTGTGATTTAAGTTCTAAAATGTAGGAAAAAGGATAGATAATTCAAAAGGACTAATTTGAGCCACTAAATAAACAAATATGTGGAGTATAAATTAGGTAAAATTTTATTATATTTTGCAATTTGCAATTATTGTTATAATTATTTGGGAAAGAGAAAAGACCTCCCTGGATTATTCCCTTTGGAATTATTTTTTTTCTCGATATAAAAAGTTATCTGAAAATTCTGCAGATAATTAACCTTTCAAAAATTCCTTTTCATGGGTTATAAATGAGATGTCTTTTCAAGGAATTAGTAGCTAATTACTAGAAGGTAAAGTTGTTGTTGCATCATTTTATTTATTTATTAAATTTTATTTTTCTTTTTGTATTTGTTGTTGTTGTTGTTGTTAAGTGCCGTTGAGTCGTTTCCGACTCATAGCAACCCCATGCACAGCAGAACGAAACACTGCCTGATCCTGCGCCAGCCCCACAATCCCTGCTATACTTGATCCCATCATTGCAGCCACCGTATCAATCCATCTCGTTGAAGGCCTCCCCCTCTTTCGTCGACCCTCCACCCTACCAAGCATGACGTCCTTCTCCAGGGAATGGTCCCT